GGGGGGAGGAGGGAGGGAGGGAGAAGGCAGAGGGACAGTGATGAGAGGTTGAGGTGGGGTGTTGGGAAGTGGTGGGGAGGAGTAAGTTGATTGAAAGTGAGGGAATATTAAGGTGGTGGGCATTGTACAAATACCTTCCTCCAAACCCTTCACATATTTTGGGTTGGTTTTTTTCTCTGTATGCAATAAGTTCAAACTGTTCCAAGCAGACCTGCAATAATGATACATTGAATAATCTAACAACAATAAGACGACAAAAAGATTGAACAATGTGAAACACAAAGAAGAGAACAAAAATTCAAATCAAAACAACAGTCAAAATTATGAACAATGACCCAAACATTATGAGCAAACAGGAAGAGAGCAGCAAATGATATGACCATCAATGACTAACACATGAGACGAAATATAATATAGATAATTTTTTGCTTTAACTTTCAGAGCACATTCATCACTTTAAAAAAATATATATTGGGAATACATGTAGTTGTAAAGCGCATAGAGCATGGATATGCGCTATATAAATGCAATTATTATTATTATCATTATTATTATTATTATTATTATTATTATTATTATTATTATCATCATTATTATTAACTGAGAGGGGAGGCATTAAGAGGTAGAGCTTTGTGGAGGTGTTGGTTTTGTTTTTGGAGATGGAGACAAGGCAACATGCTTCACTTGTGCAGAAAAAAGCTGAGTAGCAGACTCTAGGATCTAAGTCAGACTGCAGAGTTTGTGCGCAACTCCACATTAACTGTCTGACCATCATTGAGAACACGAAGAAGAGGAAGGAGGACTGTTTATTTTTGCCTCTTACTTTCTCTAATAAGATAAGTAAGGGGGCGCTTAGGGGTAGTGGGGTGGTGTGGAGGGATGGGGAGTAGGGAGAAGTGAGTTATATAAGAAGAAGAAGAAGGATAGACAGCATTTTTGTTGCGATAATTCCAGCTCTACAGCAAGCTCTATGAGCTTTACAATTTATATATTACTACCCAAGCAGACCTGATAACGTACTGAAACAATCGCAACTTCCTGGGAGGCATGCAGTGAAAGCTGCCATATTTTTATTTCTAACCGCTAAAACACTAACATACTGACAAGACCTTTAGATCGTGGTCAAATCCTTGAAAATGCTTCTCACCCTCTGTATTTTGCTCATAATATTTGGGCATTTGAGTAAAGTTGGGTACTCACCACCCCTTTCCAGCCTGGCCAGCGACTCGGCAGCCTTGAGGTACTGACCGCCCAGTTCCTTGAGCCGCACGTCCATCTGTGTCCAGTGTGCCAGGGCCACATCCGAACTGTTGTGATGAGACGCCAGTTGAGACTGCAGCTCCGAGATCTGCTTGTCTTGTTGGTACGCCTTTACCTGAGGAGAGGGGAGGGATGGGGGAGGTGAGTTTTAGTAGTAGTAGTATAAGGTTTTACGGCGCTCGCAACTGCTAAGGTCATATGAGCGCGCGAAACACAAGTTGTTCACCTCTG